AGGGAGAACAGGCAAAGGAATCTGTCAGGTGAGTCAAACAAAAAAAAAGGCTATGAAATTTCCAGGCTTTCGTGTTTACGTTAGTCTAGTTTCATGTGAGCACATGGCTCCTGATTTTTCCTGTGCCATGTGCTTTCTGTCTAATTATTATGCCGTGTTCCAGGCAAACCTGTAACCCGTGTTTTTTCCAACCTTATACACGTGAAAGTGCACTCGAACTGACGTCAAACCCGTGACTTCCCACCCGTGAACTCGTACTAGATCGATGTACTCCTAGTTATGACAGGGTTGCCAACTTGTGAGTTTTGCTTGGAGTGAGATTTGTTCCGGGGGGTGGTGTCGTCACACTGTCTTGTAGGGCACAATACCCCCTGGGCACAATGTCTTGTTAATAGTTTTTCCAATTTTAATTTGGCATAGCCTTACAGAAAATAGGCTTAAGAAAATGTTGTATATTTTAAGGTTAAATGCATCAATGGTGCACTTTGAGAGCTCAAAATTAAGAGCTTTAACCGGCTTCAACCCATGAACTGTGACATTGAACAAAGGAAAAGGCTCGACTTGTACCTGGACATTAAAGAGGGATCAAACATCTTTTTAGTTATGATATAAATCTTCTGTTTTAGGATGCCAAACGATTATTAAAATAATGTAATAATGATTTATATAATTATTCCTATTACGAAAAATCCATATAGGCCTAGCCAATAAATGTACTAAATGTTCAAAAGTATATTTTACTTACACTACACTGTAAAAAAAATATATTTTCATGATTTGTAATCACAACATTTTTTCTTTTGTCAAATCAACTTAACTAATTTATGTAGTTCAGATAACATAATATTTTGAGTTTCTGATGCTTAAATCAATCTCCTTCATTGTATTGTAACTCAATTTTTCCAGTTCAATGAACTTAAAATTTTAAGGCAATCAAGTTACTTCATTTTGTAAGTTAAACCAACAATATTTTTTACAGTGTATTGTATAGGAAAATTACAATAGTTTTGTCCTAATTTCTTCACTTGCAAGAAATAAACCCTTGAGCTTTTATTTTGGAGAAAAAGATCACCATGTTGACTGCGTGAGCAAAGTGCGCACTTTTCTTCAAATCAAGCAGCACAAACAGAATGGCTACATAGGCTACTTAATTACAGTCTTGTGCTGTTTTATAAAGGCACAATGTCATATCACGGTTTCGGTGTTGGGAAAAGGGAGAAGAGAGAGTTCGGCAAAAGGCGGATTCGAACTCGGGTCGAACGCGTCAAAAGCTGCTTTCAAGCAACTCACGCCCTCGCCCTACGCCACTATTCAGTGAAGGGTATCTTTTTGCTAAAAAGACAGGAACCTAGTGCAAATGTACGCTCTCAACTCACGTTCAAAGTCATAGGCAGCGCAGCGTCTCTCTGTGCATCGCAAAAGCCCGTGTTGACAGTTTGTTTAATATAAAGCGGGAGATTACCAGATACAGTATTTTGCTCGTGCCCTGTGGGTGTTGTAGCCTAGGCAACTGTATCACGTGCCGTTTGAACCGACGCGCTACTGCGTTCTGTCACATTTAAAAGCGCCAAAACGTTCCATATCAAGAGTAAACTTCTCTGTCTAGTCTGTCGGTGTCCGTGTCATCCTTTTCCGCGATTTTTCTCTGCATGATAAAATGCAGTGGTCCAATCAGTAGTTAAGAGCCTGAACTTGCTTATAGTAATACAATAAAATACAGCACAGAAGAATTTCTAATTTAGCGTGAGATTCCTTTGTTGAGCGTGAGACCGTGAGATTGAGGCTGAATGCGTGAGTGTCACGCCAGATGCGTGAGAGTTGGCAACCCTGTTATGAGCTCTGACGTCACGTAGCCTGCAAAACCATATAAAACAACAATGGTTTGTTTACATCTAGCTTCCACAATTCCTTGCGCTCAGGTTTGGCGTGACTGGCCTGGAATGCTACAAATTTGTTAGTCGTGGTTTGAAGTCATGATTTACGTGCTCAAAAACCTGCCTGGAATGCAGCATTAGCTCCTACCTTCTTGTTATCTGTTAGTAATTAACATTCCTCACCTGTTGGCTTGTCGTTACCCTCCTGTGTGTTTCCTTTATAGCCTTCTCTGTGTTTTCAGTCCGGTGTTGGTTCGTTTTTCTAAGTTCCTGTTTCTTGTTCCGAGTGTTTTGCCTTGTTAGTATTTGTTCTGGTTTTTCCCCCATGCGGGGATTTTGTTTGTATAGGCTACCAGCCCGTTCTCATCTTTAACGTCATATAGAACGCTATATGCAAAAACGGAGCTATACTACGCACATGGCACCCTTTTATCGCTAATATAACACACGAACCCAAGACGTTATAAATCTTTAGCGTGAATATGACACGCACACCCTACCCCACACCTAAACTAGCCCTCACAGCGCGTGTTATAACTTATATTAACGATAACGGGTGCCATGTGCGTAGTATAGCGCCGTTTTGTCATATAGCGTTCTATATGACCTTAAAGGATGAGAATGCGTTGTAGGCTACTTTGTATTTTGTTTAGTTGGTTAATTAAAATCTTGCCTTTGTTTCCCTGCAACCGAGTCCTCATTTATGTTTCACGGGACTGATTATCACGTGGCATATATTCATATTATTATTTTTTTTTATTTATTAAACTAAGACTGGGGCTGTCAAGCTCCAAAATGAGAGAAAAAAAAAGCACCATATAAGAATCCTAAAGAAGTCCATATTACATTAATTACAATTTGTAAAGTTGTGTGGTATATTAAAAGTGTTCTGAAGCCATATGATTGTTGGGAACAGACCAAAACAATATTCATTTAAGTCTCTCTATCTTATTTAAAGTTGGCCCGAAAAAAAAAAGAGTAGGGCAGGAGTCAGGACTTGATGTTGTCCATCGGGAATTGAATCAGCCCACGCTCATTCGAAAGACGTACCTGTGGCAACATTGTGCACGTTTTGCAACAGTTTCAAAATGAAATGTGGTGGTGATGGCGCAGTGGATAAGACACATGCCTTTGGTGTGAGTGACCCAGGTTCCACTGTGAAACACCAATGTATCCCTGAGCAAGAAACTTAACCTCTAGTTGCTCTAGAGGCATCTGACCTCCGACATATATAGCAATTGTAAGTTGCTTTGTATAAAAGCGTCAGCTAAATGAATAAATGTAAATGGTGTGAGTGGTGCTAAAAGCTTGTTTAGTTTTTTTGTTGTTGTTGTTGTTGTTGTTGTTTTCGGAACAGATAAACGTGAATATGGCAATGATTTATTATGTTGCAGTTTGTAAGTATCACAGCAGTTCTGAATTGAAATGTCCAGTGAGTGGCACTAAAAGATTAATGCTCCATTATGTTTTAAATGGCACCTATTATGCCCCTTTTTACAAGATGTAATATTGGTCTTGGGTGTCCCCCGAATGTATTTGTGAAGTTTCAGCACAAAATACTCCATAGTTAATTTATTATAACCATTTTAAAATGTCATTTTTGGGTCCTGTTTTA